ATCTATCTGTTTTAGACTAGTCAAGATAGGAGTAGAATTGTTTGTAGGGGTCTGAAATTATTTGCTGTTAGCCTGTTACCACTTGACTACTTCCTGACACATCTGGACCGAATATCTATTTTATTTAATTATTTTATAAACCGGTCGGATGCCATGCTGTGGTAGGTCCCAGCGAGGACACTAGTGCAGATCGCATGCCACACGTAGCTCATGAGTGGAGAAGACAGTGAGGTTGAAGGACTAGGCCAGGATGATAAGAGGCTTACCCGTAGTCTAGCACTTAGTCGGCCGACCGTTTTTCTGGTGTTAGAGCCAGAAGAGGAAAGGAGACTGCGAAGAGAAGCCAGAGAGAGGAGAAACTTGCAGAGGGCAAGGGAAGCAGCAGCCAACACAGAAAGGCACTAGCAGCAGCATTAGCAAGCGAGGCTAGAGCAGGAGCAGAGGCCGCTACGGCTTCCGCTTCTGCAATGCCCCAGGCCTCATTCCAGGCCTCTTCGTCAAGTGTCAGTTCGAGTTTGTCCCAGCCTTTCGTTAGTCAGTCTGCTGGATTGCAGGTCAGCCAGCAGCAACCCATGCCAGAGGAGGATTACGAGATCATGAAAGCAAATGCCCTCCACCCAGAGAGCTACAGCGCCAGTTGGAGGATGTTGAGAATAGGAGAGAGACAGCTTGAGTTAGAAAAGCTAGACTAGGGGCAAGGGCAGAGGAGCTAGGCAAGTTGGGAACTGTAGATGAGTCAACTTTCGACCCTGTTGTTAGGTCCCTTTGGGATTCTCTGTTGAGTGTGGAGGAAGTGCAGGCTGTGCAGCAAGAGTTGTTGGCTGAACAAGTAGCTGGCCAGAACCAGATCCTGGCTGTGGTACGGGTGCCTCGACCTACGGTGAGGCCACCGCAGGTTGCTGTAGCTCCCCCCACGGTTGCAGGTTCCTTGATGACGCTGCTGCCGGTGAGATCATTCTTTTCCCTGGTGTTTGGCATGCCCTTTCAGGCGGTTTAGCAGCAGGTAGTAGCAGGCAGACTCTGGTTCCTTCTTCTTCGCTTCCCCATCCAGTGGCTGCCGCTACAGGGCAGCCGCATGTTCAGCAGCCTTTGCAACAGGGGTCGCCGCAACAGCAAGTGCCGCCGCAGCAGCAAGTGCCTCCGCAGCGTCTTGTTCCATCGGTTTCTCAGCCGATGCAGCCGCCCGGCGCAGGGTGCTGTACACTCAATGTAGTGGACACCTAAGATAGCCTTGCGACAAGAAGAAGGAAGAGAACTTGAATACCTGGGTGAGGACTATGCCTCCTTATGTGAGGCACAAGCTCACAAAGCCCGAGGAAGAGGTCATTGTCGTTGCATCCTTCCTAGAAAGATCGACAACTAGATGGTTGAATGGATCAGTACAGCAGAACGGTTACAGTCAAAACTTCGATGGCTGGGCCCGGGCCCGGACATTGGAGGAGTTCATACGGTTGGTCCTCAACAGGTGGCATGACCCCCAAGGGGCAGACTGCCACCGACTCGCTGGCTAGTCTGGGATCAAAGACGTCGCAGAGTGGCTGATCGTTGTCCCTGGCATGCGGTACGATCAGCAGGTTCTCTTGACGACTTATTTGCAATGTCTGCCCACAAATGTCAAAAATCAGTTGGTCGACGAGGCCTCCATAGATGTACATGACTTTGCCTCGTTCAACAAGAAAGCCCTAGACATAGAGGCTAGGCTTGGGAGTGCCCAACAAGCAGCGAGCGATGGGAGGAAGAAGCAGCTTCCTCGAGATCGGAGGACGAAGGGCAATCTCATGTTCGTTGACACATGATGGCCACACAACCGAGATTGACGACTTCTCTGACCTGGGGGAGGTAGATGGGAGTGGGAGACTTTAGAGGGTGGAGTAGCCGCTCCCTTTAGAGAAACGGCTAAGGGGGATGGGAAGAAAAAGGGTAGCCAGCCCAAGGGGGCCGGGAGTGGGGAGACTTCCAATGCACTCAAGAGGTGGATTGAAGTAATAGGCATTGTATGACTTCAAACTCGACCCCCTGAAGGGAGAATACAACAAGGTAGCTGACGCACTATCACGCAGGGCAGACTATCTGGGCGTGCTAGTGACGGAGTTCGGTATTTCTGACGATGTATCTCGATCTTTGGTGGAAGCCCATCGAGATGACCTCATCATGTCTCAGATCATGCACAAACTTGAAGCCAAGGATAAGGCCATATGAGATGAGTTTATGCTGGTCAACAAGTTGCTATTTCTCCAAAAGGCAGGGAACTAACGATTGTGTGTTCCATCTAGTGAGTTTTTGTGTAGTTGATTTTTAGGTGAGTGTCATGATGCAACTGGATATTTTGGCTATAAAAAGACAGCTGCGAACTTAGTGCAGAAATTTTGGTGGCCCATGATGATGGAAGATGCAAAGAAGTATTTAGAAACGTGCCAAGTTTGTCAGCGTGACAAACCACGGACACAGGCACCACTTGGGCTTATCAAGCCCTTGCCTATACCTGCAGGCCCCGGTCATAGTGTGTCCATGGACTACATGGATACTCTCGTGACCAGCAAGAGCGACAAACATCACACCTTCGTTATTGTGGACAGATTCAGCAAGTATGCTAGACTGATCGCTAAGACCGACCACGTCATCAAGCTGCTTATGGATAACTGGGTGCATGACTTTGGTCTTCCTAAGTCTATCGTTAGTGACAGGGATGTTAGGTTCACTAGAGCGCTGTGGCAAAGTACAGCCAAGCAGATGGGGACTCAATTGCAAATGACATCAAGGTATCACCCTGAGTCCAACGACCAAGCTGAGCAATTGAACTGAACCGTGTAGTGCAGCTGCAATGTGCCCAGTCGTGATAATCAGTCGTCACTCGCAAAGACAAAATAGACGAACGCTGCTGATAAATCATAATAATAATGATCCCAAAATGAGAGAGAATGCATACACAGACGAGAGAGGGAGGAGGGAGAATAGACTTTGAGAGGGTGGAAGAGTCTCCTCCCTACAGCCCACTTCCTCTTYGGGCACTTCCTCCTCCTAGCAGCATAATCGTGTCTCAATCAGAGATCCGGACATCCAAGACACTGTAGACCAATAGTGCCACGTAGCACCAGCAGACCAGTCATCAAGCAGCAACGTGACGACGAAGTGGAAGACACCAGGTACGTATCACGACCCAAACCACARTCCTGAATCCTTCTTCCGAATACTTGTCAAGCAGAACAGCAATACAGGCRCCCAGTGCCTTCTATCTCAGCAGCAATACTACGTGGCAGCAGCCACGAAGATGACACGTGGCATCTGCCATGTCGACAACCCCTCAGACAATAGTGCGCCAGCCAGCATGCTGGTCGCACAGAACACTCAAGCCACGAACCAGCGACGAGCGCCGGTCGTCAAGTTCTCCCCGCAGCGTCTCGCCAGCTAGACAGCATAGAGCCGGCGTTGACGCGAGAGCGTTGAGTCCCCATAGACTCCAGACGAGAGTCTAGATGTCAAAGCCAGGAAGTCAGCCCAATATGTAGTGTTGACGGCGGGGTCTGGGCCCCAGTCCTCAAGTCAGACACGGCCGAGATCRATTGTCGTCGACGGCCTGGATTGAGTTGAAACTGTATCCTCCTTGRTCCACCGTTCTGACTGGGTACCTGCACASATACAAGTCAATGCACACGACCAAGGGCCTGGGCGAGGTACCTGGACCTACAGTTCAGTTTGACCTTTGAATTTCTTGCTGTGCGTGGTCACACAGCACCCGCAGCGGCCTGAGGCCGAGCAGCGCGTGGTCGCACTGCTCGCTGGGCCTGGGCTTGGGTTACAGCGCCCAGGCCGCTGCTGAACGCGGTTTACTGCATTCCTGCCGGCCCGAATTCGAGTTCCACCGCAAAAATACTTAAGACTCCAGTCCGTGTTCATAGCTAGCAACAATATCAGGAGCAGTATCCATCAGTTCCCGTTTGCTAAACCAACGGTCTTCAGAGGCATCTTGGAACTGGAATCTCACTTTATACTGCTTCCGAGGTCTGCCTCTTCCACCAGTAGAAAAGAATCCATGGTCAGTAATTTTCTCAACCACATAGCTGCCATTCATAGAAGGAGGTATGGCAGATGGTCGGTGAGGAAATTCTGTTCCTTCTACATATGGAAGCAGTTTAGACGCGTGAAAGACGGGGTATGTCCGAAGATGAGGGGGAATGTCAATCCGGTATGATGGTCCATCGGCATCCCCTATCACCTTKAGAACTTCYCARGGTCCWMGATARACAGGCATCAGTTTCTGAGAAACATCCTCTTYTAGAGTGAACTCTTTGGACTTAACCCAGACCAAGTCACCAACTTGAAAAGTAGACGGGCGTCGGTGTTTGTTAGCTTGTTCAATCATGCGCTCTTGGGTTTTCCTCAGATTCTCCTTCACCTTTTTAATGTCTTCTTGAAACATAATGGCATATTCCTTTGTCCCTGGTGGWAGTCTAAGAAACTGATCCCTGGTTAAAACATCAATGGGACGCTTAGRCTTYCATCCCTTGTGCARTGCGTTAGGTGTGCGTCCCGTCGCGGTATGCACACTATTGTTATATGCACCGACAATCTTGGGTAAGTTCTCATCCCAGTCTATTTGGTCAGGACGGACATACATTCTCAAAAGTTGTTGGACTAAACGGTTCATTTGCTCAGACTGTCCATTCGTTTCAGGGTGTCTACCTGACGACATGGTGAGCCGTGTACCATAGACTTCCATCAATTTCTGCCAAGGCATGCTTGTGAATCTGACATCGCGGTCAGAGACGATAGACATAGGGAACCCATATTCAGTTACCCATCGCATCTGAAATTTAGCAATCACAAGCTCAGTCTTGGCTTCCGCAGGCAAGGGTATGAACRTRRCATATTTARAGAARCGATCAACCACAACCATAACTTGACTATTGCCATTTCGGGACTTGGTGAGTTTCATAAAGTCAATGGATACAGACTCACCTGGCTCACTCGGTATAGGTAGTGATCGGAGTAACCCCAAAGGTTTCTCAGTAAACGGTTTGTTTCTCTGACATACTTGGCATGTACGAACATATGTTAGCACATCCTCTTTCAACCCTTCCATTCATAGTGCTCACGTACTTCAACATACGTCTTCTTGAAACCAAAGTGTCCCTCTGTGTCAGGACATTCCCCAATCAGCAAACTTTTAAGTTCTTCCTTGTGAGGAATGCATAATCTCTGTTCAGTTTGGTCCAACAAGAAGAGTAAGCCATCAGACAATCGGTAGTGAGGAAGTTGGGATGGATCCTTGGCTAGGATATCCATGATTGGTTTCCAGACAGGGTCAGTGGCATATCCAGCGCGAGTCTGATCTTTCACATCATTCCCAACATCCAGGTAAGAGACTATAGCCCCAAAGAAATCACTACTCCTAGATAGTGCGTCTGCTACAACATTAGACTTACCTTTAATTGTTTTGAGTTCGAAATCAAAGGTATCAATAAAAGCAGACCAACGCACCAACTTGTCAAACAATCGAGGTTGTGTCTTGATCCACTTTAGAGTCGAGTGGTCCGAGTACACAGTGAAGTGTCTGCCAAGAAGATAGTGTTTCCACGTTTCTAGGGCATAGACTAATGCATATAACTCCCTTTCGTAGGTGGAGTTGGCGACTTTGTCGCACGGCAGTCGTTTAGACATAAACTCAATAGGGCGGTAGCCCTTGCCGTCGTCTTGCTGTAAGACAGCACCAACACCATACTGACTTGCGTCAGTCGTAACAATGAAAGGAAGAGACGGGTCGGCAATCTTGAGGACAGGATAGTGAGTTAGAGCATATTTCAGCTTTCGGAAAGACAAATCATAATCCTTATCCCATAGCCAGACAGTACCTTTCTTAAGCAACCTTCTCATTGGTGCAGCGATAACAGAAAAGTTCCTAACGAACTTCCTATAGTAACTCGCCAAACCAAGAAAAGATCGAAGGTCTGTCAGAGTCTTTGGCTGCGGCCAATCTCTGATTGCCGAGATCTTCTTTTCCTCAGGCCTTAATCCCTCCTCGTTCAATATATGCCCCAAGTATAGGACCTCAGACTTAGCGAACTCGGATTTCTTTGGGTTGAGTTTGAAGTTACCCTCGCGTAACTTCCCGAGTACTAGACGTAGATGTTTCTGGTGATCGTCTAGTGTTTTACTATATACTAGAATATCATCCAGATAGACGATGACGAAGTCGTCGAGCCATTGCCTGAACAACTCGTTCATGGACCTTTGGAAGGTCGCAGGTGCGTTCGTTAGACCAAATGGCATCACGATGAACTCGTAATGACCATACCTCGTACGAAACGCGGTCTTATGCTGATCGGCCGGATCCACCTCGATCTGGTGGTACCCAGACTTAAGGTCGATCTTACTAAAGACCTTACAACCCTGCAACAGATCCAAGAGATCATCGATCCTTGGCAAAGGTTCGGCGTTTTTGACGATGACAACATTCAACCCTCGGTAATCGATGCAAAGGCGCAACTCACCTTCCTTTTTGGGCACAAACAAGACAGGTGCGCCATAAGGAGAGGAGCTAGGGCGAATCCATCCCTTCTCCGTCAACTCAGACAATTGCTTCTTTAGTTCCTCAAGTTCCCTTGGAGACATGCGATAGATAGGGCCCTTGGGAACCTTGCTACCGCGCACGATCTCGATCGTGTGCTTGATAGCTCGCGAAGTGACCCCGGTAGGCTCAGACATAATATCGGCAAACTCCGTTAGGAGTGCATCTATGCCAGGAGGATGGGTAGTTGAAGACTCTTCTATTTTCTTAACTAACAACATTACTACCTCATCCTCTAACTTCTTCTTTGCAACCATCGATCGGAATGCAGGGTAGCTCATGCAACAGAAAGACAAGACAGAATCAGACCCTGACCGATGATACAACTTAATTGATTGCAATTCAGACGATTCATCCTTGATTCGTACGTCTTTCTGTTTGAAATCAATATTGGGATCAACTTCCTCGTGCCAATCCATTCCCAAGATGATATCAAATGGCATGTTCTTCTCGATTAGGAAGGGAAGCTCATGCCAAATCTTCTTCCTATCCTTAGTACTGAACTGACATCGAACACGATCGACGTACTGCGTTACCGTCATCGTGCTTTTGTCAGCCAACATAGACATGATTGGTCTAGCTAACGTTTGGATCTTCATGCCGAGGTGCAACTTGCGGATTGCACGTTCAGATATGTAAGATCGTGTGGACCCAGGGTCCAGCATCGCACCAACGTGTGTGCGATTGACAACCAAATCGACAATCAATAGTTCCCCCTTAGACTTGGCTTTCTTCGCCCACGAACTGCGTAACGCGACTAGCTCGCTACCCWRCTCGTCAAGGGAGTCGTCCAGAGACAGACATAAGACAGGAGTRGGGATATCTGAACGACGGGCGGAAGGGTTTCCATCCTCTGCCACGGGAGTCGGAGTGTGGAAAGGGATCGTAGGCGCCTTGCATGTGATCGCACTCTCCGACTCTGTAGGAACAGATGTTATTCCTACTGGCTGCTCCCTTTTGAATTCCTAATCAACGGACAAAAGGCAATGACATGCCCCGCAGTGCCACATTTGAGGCACTGCGCATTATCCATTCTATCTTGCCACACCTCCCGGGGTAGTCCCATCTTCAGCCACGGTCTGCCGGCCGCAATCCCAGGATGGTATGGGAAGGAGCGTGGTCTTCCCTTCGGTCGAGTGTTCGATGACGGTCCTCCCTTGTTGACCGTCGTAGCAGTGATCTCCCCCTTTCCGGAGTCACTGTTGCTCTCACCACCACCCTCGGACTCCAATGGCCATTTCTCCATTGTATCGTCGTCGAATACGACGAGGGTGTGGTCTTGGCGCTTTTGACACCATATGACCCGCTTGCCGTAGCCTCCTCGACCGCCTCCTCCTCCATTCTTTACGGCAGCAGCATAGGAACCTTTGACTTGCGAAGTCATTTGTTCCCGCTGCAATGCAAGGTCGCGGAACTGGCGGTAGGTATACTTACCTGACTTGGCCTCGGCGACCAAGTGCCCTCGTATCGCTTCGGGCAACGCGCGGGAGTAGATATAAAGGACCTGAGAGTCCTGCAGGTTAAGACCAAGAACTTGCAACAGGCGGTCCACCTCACGAGACAATGACTCAATGGAAGACCAGGACTTCTGTCCTATCGAGGTGAGTTGGTCGAAGGCCTTATCGGCCGTGGTCTTGTCCAAGAAGCGGTCCTTGACCTTTGCAAGGAACTGCTTCAAGGTCATCGTCTTCGCCCACTCGCCTATATCGTCAAACCCCGCGGCATTCGCCTCCGCCAGAACCCACTGCTTCACTTCACCACCCRTACAAGAAGTGGTGAACGCAACTTGCGACTCTTCTTCTACCGGTGCAGTCCCAACATAGGTCTGGATCTCTGCGATCCAGAGTGGAAGGCTTTCTTCTTTCTTATTAGAAAAAGTGAAAGGTAATTTCATCTTCACCTTTTCTTTTTTCTTTGGCTTAGTCGGATCTGCGGGTTTGGCATTGTCCTTAGGAGGGGGAGTGGGACCGTTGGGACCACCATTCCCGTTTTTATTCCCGTCTCCATTCCCGTTTCCATCACCATTCCCGTTGGGTTTCTTTTCCGGTTTCTCTTCCAGTTTCTTCTCGGTTTATTTTACCGTTTCCTTCTTCGTTGTGTCGCTGTTTTTCATTCCACCAATAAGCAACTTCTCGGGCTTGACGTCCGCTCTTCTTTCTTTATCTTCATCATTTTCAAGCATAGGGGCTTTCCCCTTGACAATGCTAGTAATGACATGAAGGCCAACAACGAATTCATCCATTCTAGATTGCTGTTGGTCTAACTTTTCTTCAAGAAAAGCCAAATACGTCAATATTTGTCCGAGCGTCTGAGCAACATCTTTTTCATCTAAGGAAACGTGCTGCTGAACTCTACCCATTCTCTGCTGCAACTTAGTTTCCTGTTCTTTTCTTTGCAACAGTTCTTCCCGCTTCCTTTCTTCTTTTGCGAGTGTCTCTTTCAACTGTTGTATGTTCTCTTCAAGACTTTCTATCTTTACTTCTTGCACGGTATCTTTCCGTTGGGCAATCTCTTCCAACTGCTGGATGGTGAACTGGTCCAGTATCTCACGACACTGGGCAATGACTTTATGGATCTCTGTTGCTGCCGCCACCATCTCTACACTCGTGGTAGCTTTGGCCAAGCGATCAAAGATCACTTCAAGGTCAAACTTACCACGGATGTGTTCTCTTGCGGCCGGGACAGCGAATTCCATGTCCACCAGCAGCTGGGAGAGAAGTTCTCCC